GGGGAGGGGTTGGCTGGGAGCTGTCAGTGCCAGCGGGGGGACTGGATGCTGCGCGTTTGCAGGCCCCCGGCCCGGCACGATCCGCTTTTTGAGCTGCCGACCGCCGCCGCCGCTACCGCTATCCTCTGTGCTTGCAGCGGCCGCGGCGACAAGGACGTCAACACGGCCATCAAGGTGCGGCGCCAGCCTTGCTGCTGGCCGCGCTGCGACAGCTCGCTGTGCCTGTGGCTTGCGCGCGGGTTGGTAGTGCAGCGGCCCTTGCAACTGCGCGGCAAACCCCGTTCTGACGCCTTCCTCATGCCCGCTGTCATCCATTTTCAAATCTCAGGCTCTCGGGATGCAGACGAACAGCATTTGAGCGTGTTCAGGCAAAGTCATGGCTGGGGTGGGCGGCCGAGGATGCTGGAGCGCAAGCAGCAGCTCAATTTGCCACTGCTGCACTCCCGAATCGCCTGCCTGCAGCTCTTCGTGTTCAGCTCAGTGTTTTATTGGAATCAAACGTGTAATTGGTTCGTCTCGAGGTCGTACAAACGCAGACACTTGATACTCAATCGGGTCTCGGCCTAAGGCAGCGCGGCATCAGCGGCACAGCCCGCGGGCCCGGGCTGAGCGATCATGGCGGACATGATCGAGTCGCTGATGCCGGCCAGCCTGTTCCAAGAGGTGCACACACCCGGCAGCAGCTGCAACCGATGTCTGCTTGTGCGGTCTCGACGCCAAAATTACATTCTATAAAGCGTGTGTGTGTCCTGGACCGCAGGGCCTTGGATCTGGGGCGCTGCAGGAGTTCTTGGACTCCATTGACAAGCAGGCTGAGCAGGTGTGCTGGTGTGCGTGCGCGCACAGCTGAGCTCGCGCCCTTGCGCATCGGGTATGGGTTCGCCTGCACCTGACATGCTGCAGCGCATCACTAGCATGCGCCGCGCGCCCCTGCTGCGCAGATCAAGCTCAGCCTCCTGGCAGCTGTCGGCGAGCAGGTGCAGCAGCAGGTGGACATCGACCCGGCGCTGCTGTCGGCGTTGGTCTCGCTGGCGTCGGTGTCGCCCTCGCCGGGCGGGCCGGAGGCGTACATAGCTGACTACGCCCGCAAGTACATGTGAGGCATAGCTTGGTCGGATTATTATGCTGACAGCTCTGCAGCCGTGCCGGCCAGTCACCCCCGTCCGTCCCGAGCCCGCCAAGGTGGTGCTTGGCGCGTCTGTTTTCGTTTGCATGCACCGTTGCAGCTGCTCTACCGCCCCAGCCACGCACGCAGCCCAGGTTCACAGACTGCCGCGGTGCACGGCGCGGCCGCGCCCCTGTTGCCCCCCCAGGGAGCTGCAGGAGCAGGTCAAGTCGCTGCAGGCGGAGCTCAAGGCGGCGCAGGCGGCGGCAGACCTGGAGGCAACGCTGCGCGAATTTCGGCAGTTCCTGGAGAACGGTGGGCCGGCCGCCACGCGTTTTCTTGCTTGGCTTTGTCGGGATTCCAGCCTCCGCAGCTGCCCCCTCAAGCATTGCAGCAAGCGCGGCTGCAGCGCTCGCAGTCGAGCGCTGTCGCACGGGGGCCGGGGCTGGCAATCACCGCCTGCGCCGCGGCCGACGTCCCCGTCCCGCCGCGCCGCGCCCCGCCGCCTTGCGCAGGCCAGTACAACGACGCCGCGTGGAGCGTGGTCCAGCTGCGGAAGATCGTGGCTGACGCGCGCGCCAAGAAACCTCAGGGTGCAGCCCAGCAGCAGCAGCAGCAGCAGCAGCACTACTACGGCTATCAGCCACCACAGCAGCAGCAGCAGCAGGAGCATGACGAGCCGGAGGTGAAGCAGCTGGCCGAGGCGTGTGCCAGCTGCGAGCGGGAGCTGGAGGAGGTTGGCGGCACTGGGAGGGGGTTGGGACCTGCTGCTGCCGCCGCTGCTGCTGCTGCTGCTGCTGCTGCTGCTGCTGCTGCTGCTGCTGCTGCTGCTGCGGCCACTGCCGCTGCCGCCGCCGCCGCTGCTGGAGGCCTGCCGGCGGCTTGGGAGGCCCCCTGCGCCCTTCTCGCAACCCTGATCAACAGGACGTCGAGAGCTCCCCCGCTCGGCCGACGCTCGCGCGCCCCTCCTCAGCTGTTGAACCCCCACCCTCAGGCCCTCTCCCCCCCCTCGCCCCCAACACACACACATACACGCCCCCAACCCCCCCGCCCCTCGACCTCGCAGGCCCTCGAGGCCGCGTGCCAGGAGGCGGTCGACGTGTCGCTGGAGGGCAGGGTGCTGACGGTCACGGCGGCGCTGCCGAGCGGGGGCGACGTGGGGGACCTCTGGGCGGCGCTGGAGCTGGCGGGGATGGAGGGGCCGCACCTGCAGTG